ACCTGTGGAAAACATATTAAGGAACAATAAAATCCAATTATTAATAAATTCTTTCAGGGTGCACTTTACAGGTATTCCTCAGTTTGTGTTTCATTTGTCCTGGCATCCCAAAGAAATTGGAGCAAGAGATAACCTGTTTTTTTTCCTTCCTACAGGGTCACTTGAGCTCCTTTGGAGCTTTGCTTCTAGAACTGTCTTGTAACAGGATTCAAGCAAGGCTTGAGCTGTGTTTGCTGCCAAGTAGTATCTGATATCATAACCTAAATAATGTCACCCTGCCCACCCCCAAGCTCCCACACAGCCATGTGCCCTTACGTGATCTGTCTAACCTTTCTGGTGTGGAGGAATTGCTTGCCAAGGGGCAGTCTGGTGCTCTGGGAAATCTGGACTGAGAGCATGTGTCATCCCAGTCTCATTTCTACTTTCATTATCAGCCCTGTGCAGAATGTTTTTCATGTAAAATGCCTTACAAACATGCATGAAATAGGAAAATTACTCAAGTGTCACTTCACTGTAATACCTAAACCACATTTCTTGCTGCACTCAGGTAATGCTATGCAGGTATCAGTATCAAGACAATTGTCACTTTCCACAATGCAGGGAAAAAAGGTTTGTTGGTTTGTTTTAAATTACAGCAGTGGTGCTAGCATGAATAGATATGGATGCCCTCCATGTGTGACAGTCTTTGGTGATGGGATGAAGGCTTATTTTGGCAAGAACTTTAAAAGACAAAGTGGGTACTGTGAGATCCAGACTGCAAAGAAGTCTTTTAAACGAAATGAAAATGTCCACAGTTCTCTACTGTCATGAAAAGCCTTGTTTCCACATGAGGGAGGTTAAAAAATGTGGAGATCTGAAGGAAATTTGGCATATCCCCATATCCTGTGGTGGCAAGAAAATTTGATTATCTGCTGCTTATGTAAACTGTGCTGCAAAAATATTTTTTCATTAATTTAGTATTTCACTGGGCAGTGAGATATACTGCTTCCAGCTCTGGGGTCCCCAGCACAAGGACATTACCCCATTGGAGCAAGTCCCAGGGAAGAATACCAGGATGCTTAGAGGCAGGGAATACTTCTCACATGAGAAAAGCTTAAGAGAATTGGGATTATTCCGCCTGGAAAAGAGAAGGATTTGGGGTGATCTAACTGTGGTCCTCCAGTACCTGAAGGGAGCCTACAAAAATTACGGAGGTAAACTTGTCACACGGAGGAATGGCTTCAAACTGAAAGCAAGTCTGTTTAGATGAGATATTGGGAAGGAATTCTTTGCTGTGATAGTGGTGCAGGCACTGGAACAGGGTGCCCAGAGAAGCTGTGGATCATCCCTGAAAGTGTTCAAATCAGATCGGATGGGGCTGGATAGCGGAAAGTGTTCCTGCCCATGGCAGTGGGGTTGAAACTAGATGGTCTTTAAGGTCCTTTCCAACCAAAACCACTCTATGATTTTATGAAGTTAAACGAGGAAGGTATTTTAAAACTTGCTGTCTTTTGAAAGCATCTAAGAATGGGCTCGACTTCTGTTTGTATGTAAGAAAGCGAGCTTGAACACAAGTGGAAAGCCTGGGCAGCAGACCCAGATGTAGAAAACCAGTTTGGGGCGCTGGGCTGCGGCGCAAGGCCGAAGCTCGCGGCTTCTGAACACTTGCATCGAACTCCAGGGCTGCCCGTGCTCTCCCGCCCTGACACGCTGGGTGCCCGTGGCTGTCTCGCCCCCCAGCTCAGACTCCTGTACCTGTCAGCCATCCCAGCGCCTACGGAATTCCCGCTGGCGGCACCGGCCCAAAGCTCTGCCGCCCGGGGCTGGGAGCTCCGCCTGGCCCCGCCCCCGTTCCGCGACCAGCAGGGGGCGCGCGGGTCCCGCCCGGCGCAGCGCGCGCGGCGCGGGGGCGGGGCCTGTGGCGAGCTGCGCGTGCGCGGAGGGAGCCGGCGGGCGGTGAGTGGCGCGAGGAGCGCGCGCGTAGCACGGGCCATTCGCGCGCGCCCGCCCGTGCCCGCCGTGAGGGCCACGGCGTCCCTGCCGAGGGAGCGCCATTATCGCCCTCCTCATTGCCCCCTCACCTCCCCTTCAGCGTCCCCCTCATCGCCCCCTCACCGCCCGACCCCGCTGCGCCCCGCCGGCGATGGCGGCCGAGGCGCGGTCGGGCCGGCCTGGGTCGCCCCGGGAGTTCTGTGGCTGCAGGGTGCCCTCCAAGCGATGCACGGCGGAGGGGACAGCAGGAAGGGCCTTTTCCGGGAACCGCACGTTCCCGTCAGCCACGCGTAGGGAGGACCGGCGGTCGGTCCCGTGCCCTCCGTGCTTACTGAAAAGGATGGGAATGGAGCTGGCACACATCGTATTTCCCTTTGCTTGAAGTAGCTAGCCACCAGGCCTCCTGACTTTACTCTGCTGATCCAGTGCAGTTTGTGCGTATTTGGTAATCCTCTGAGAGCTTCTCTTCTATGAACTTTCTGTGTCACTTAGGCGCATTGTGAAATTCCGGCTTTTGAGGTATGAGGGCACAAATCCAAACATTTAGTAGCTTTCCAGTCTGTCAGACCAAGATTTCTCTACCTTCAGGCAGGTGGTTGCAGCCCCTTCCAGGTGGTTTTCATTGCGGCTGCACACCACCGGCCAGGTTTTCTCGGTGTGTGCTATAAACGCCATGGATGCTTGTCTCAAAAACTGACTTGGGCAGCTTGGAAAAAACACAGACAACTAGATTTAACTCCATTTCGTGCTCTTTGTCTTTTGATCAAGGTTACTCTTAGAATAAGACCTTTTCTGAAGTTGCACATGTGCTTTTTATATTCTTGGTAAAAGATCTAAAGGGCTAACACTGTCGTCTTCCTCCTTCCCAACGATGAACAGCATGGCTTTCCAGTTGTATTTCTCTTCCATGGCCTTTTAGCAGTCTTTTCTACTGTTTTCTTATCACCTGTTCTCCACATGGTCATAACTACAGGTGAAATAAATGTACTGGGGACCAAAGACTGTTATTTTTTCCATAGTGTTTCTTCTAACTTTGAGTATTTTTTCCCTCTGTTTTAGAATTTGGCTATATAAAAATAGACTTTTCATACATGACCACCAGAAGCTATTGTTCCTACAACATCCTTGTGTGGACAAGGCCTTCGAGTCTCCTGTGCTGCTATTATCTCTCTTAATTTATTTTGGGGGGTTTTTTGGAGAGCATTCACTCTGCAGTGATGACATTTGTGTGAACAGTGTATCAGCTAATAAGAGAGAGATTGAGCTGTGCACAGGGGAAGGGACTAAGGAGTCTGCAGGGACCTCTACCCCCTTCATCCTACCTGCTGCACTGCAGGCCACATGGTGTCATTCGTCACCTCATTTTTCCTGTTTTATGGATAAATCTGGCCCTTTATGGACCAATGGCATTCAAATTTGCCATTTTACCCTATGAACACAGCCCTGCCTGTTCCTGTTCCATTCTATCTGAGGAAGCTTACCTCCTTTTCTAGTGTTTTCCTTTAGGTGAACTTTGACTTCACCACGAGTATTACTTTTCTAAACCTTATGCAGTGTTCTTGAGCTGTTCTTGGAGGTCTCATTTCCCCATATGTGGCTTTCAGAGTGCATCTGGACAGGGCATGGCCTGCATGTGGAGGGACCCAGGGCCTGGGGCAAGCAGGGACTGGTCAGCTGGAGCCTCAGGGGCCTTGGGAATTAAGAGTGTAAAGATTCCCCAAGTGCCAGTGACGCTGTGGGTTTCTGTGCTTTTTCCCATCCTCCTGCAGAACTTCCAGGGTTTCTTCTGGACTTGAGAGCAGTGAACTTTCTGGAAGGGATAATGAAGGGATTTCAAACAGTAGAACTTTCTCCCTTGAAGGAATTTACAAGTCTTGTACACATAAACTCACTTTAAGAGTTTTCTGATGTAGTTCTTAGACATGAGAACATCTTCATGCTAATAACCTGAGTCAGTATATGCATTCGGAAAAATATATTGAATTTTGGAGGCATTTGTTATATATAGGTGTGCATAATATTTCTACCATATGTTCTGAGTTACTTCTCCTTGCAAAACCTCACAGTTAATTACTTCTTGGTTCCTAAGGCTTTAATTTACAAACCAAAAGGAAGGCTATAAAAAAAATCAACTAAAAAACTATCAATAGATAAAAGATGTCTATGGCAGTATGCCTTTTCATCTTCTGAAACAATGGCAAATTCTTCATCAGCAACTTTATCTGTGAAGGTTTCATTTCACAGGCATGGATTTAGTCCTTGCAAATGCCAGTATGGGCTCACTGAACAGAAAATCAAAAAATTTCAACTTTTGACTTAAAAACTGGATCTTTGCACCTGTTTCAGTTTCTTAGTGTCAAAGCATAGATGTATTCTTGCTTAGGGGGTAATAGCAAACTAGGTTACTGTATATATCAGTCAGGTAATAAAAATAATGTTTGTGAGTTAAGGAGTGATTGTAAATTTCTACCATGTCCTATCAAAAATAAATTGTTGTATAGGACCTAAAATGGGTCATAGTGTTGTGTATTGTTAGAGCATTGTGGCTAGAAACTCTGTTACCTGTCTGGACATACAGTCATTTCCATAATAAATACTTTAAATAATACACAATTTAATAATGTAAATATTCTTGAAGCATTTGTGTTTTGTTCAATGAAAAACTAGGGGAAAAGTAATGATTTTGGGTTTACCAGGTAGCTTGACTCTAGAATTCTCTTGCATGAGGCTAATGCTGTAGATGGGTCTTTTGGCTGTGAACAATTCCCTGTTTGTCCAGCCTGGCCTGAGCAGCCAGCAAGTCAATAAATGATACTCTGGAAAGGCCAGGTTTTGCAGATAAGAGCTTTCCTTAGGTGTGTACTGTGTCAGAGGAATGGCAGAGTTATCTCACAGTGCCATGGTAAGGTACCATTTTCCCAGTAAGCAGGAAGAAGCTGTTTTAGGAAACGTCATCTTGAAAGCTCTGCTAGAGCAGAAGGAAGGGTGGAAGGGGAGGAGACTGCCAGTTCTGGAACTCTCCTTGTAATACAGGGAATGCAGAGAAGAAAAACCATGAGCAGCTCCACTTGAAATTACTCAAAATGTTCACTAACTGTTCAGGTGGCCGGTGGTTCTCGGTGACTTCTGCATAATGCAGGCGTATCCCTGTCTCCAGGCAATGTTAAAGGCATTGCTCGTGTGGTGGTTCTTGGGCTGGATGCAGGGAAAATGGGTTTCTTGAGAGAAGAATCTTTCTCGGTTTTCTCCAGTACTTTTCACGTGCTGAGTCCTTTCCAGCACCTCTGTTCCACGAGGTGGCACCGTTCCCTGGGAGACGCTGCTGCACTGCCTGGGCTCAGGGATGCTGCCTGGCAGAACCCACTTCAGGAGCTTTCTGAAAATGTTTGTACTTTTCCATTGGTACATACCGTGTCTTTTTGCAGCTTCCTGACTGCCTTTTTTTTTAATCTTGTAGGTTTGTGGCATTTAGAGGAATCTTTTTATGGCATGGAAGTTAAGACCAGGTGATGCTGAGCTAGAATGATGGTTTACTTCATTTGGAATCAAAATTGTGTGCCTTTTGAACATGGGGAGGAATGACCAATAACTATCATTATTTCTAGGAAGGAAGGGAATAATTTCTATAGGATTTTCCAGATCCACAGGAAACCAAGAACTGTAATGTCAACTTCCCTGTAAGAACACAAACCAAATCCGTGTTGTATAGAAAGGGAACAGTGTTGTTGCTCTTCCTGAATTCTCTGTGGAGACTTGTTATTTCCAATTGGCCTGTCACTGATTTAAGAGCATTGAAGTAGAGGCAATAAGTTTTCTTTTGTTAGGACGTTTTCCTAGTTGGCTGCATTCTTGGTGGAACTTGTTTTACCTCACAAGATTATGCTGTTATAAAAAACATTCACCATTGAAAAGGGTTAATTTAATTAATTTCTTTTTTCTTGTTGACATCTAAGAAAATGGACGATGATGATGACATTCCCCAGCTTTCATCCCATACATTGGCTGCCCTCCAGGAGTTCTATTTGGAACAGCAGCAGAGAGAGGGCATGAAGACCTCCCAGGGGTTTAATCAATATTCCATTGGCTCAATAGAAGAAGACTGGGTAAGAAACTATAAATTTCAGTGAAGCACAGATAGAGGAGTAGCCCTGACTGAGTTTCTTTTGTGGCTGAATAATAAAATGAAATTAAAGAGGGGAACACTCAAGATGTTCCTATTAATAGATGGCAACACTGTAGGGAGATTTGCTTTAGTATTAAATCTGGTTATAGTTGTTTGCTCCACATGTGCTTGAGGGGGTGCAAACTGAAAGTACATGGAGAGGGAATAAATCTGCTAACAGAAGCATCTGTCCCTCCTGGAAATTTTAACTCCAGTCTGGCATGTGATAGTAGTAAAGACTCTTCCCTGAGTCTGAGACAAACACAGTGTAACAAAACCAAGTGATCTTTCCTTTCACATCTTTTTTTTTGTGTGTGTTTATTTTGTGGATGGCTGTTTTGCTGCTTGTTTTTATTCGTGACAGACTGATTTCCGATTTGTCTCTTGGTAGGGTTTTTTGTCTTCCTTTTTGTGATCCATTCTGATTTAGTGTTTTTATCCTTTTCTTTCTTCCAATGCTGTCATTTTCAAGGTCTTTTTTCCTCTTCTGCTGAGGTAACTCAATTTAAGAGCACATAAGTAATGTGCATCTGCACAGTGGCTTTGAAATGCCTTGTCAGTGGTTTGGATTACTTGGTTTTCCTGATACTGCAGTTCATGCTTTGGAAACACAGGGTGTAAGGTACCTGCTGCATATCACTAGATTACAGAAGTAGAAGGATTGATTGGAAAACAGTCACTATTCCAGCTTTACAGTTTGTGAACTGAAGTTTTCTTCAGTTACAGCTCATCACACATAACTCTTCATAGCACAGCCAGAAGATTTGATGTTTGTAATTATGCATTATCTTTCTCAGCAACTGAGCCAGTTTTGGTACAGTGATGAAACTGCATCGTGCCTGGCTAAGGAAGCAGTCCTGGCAGCTGGAAAAGGTGGCAGGTAGGTTTTAATAATTGTATTGTAGATTTAACATGTCTTTTCTGCAAATACTTCGTTTCTGCTACGTAGACAAGAGCATGCAGTTTAGTTCATTACTTGTACTTCAGTTTTGTTCAACTGAGATACTGCAGAAGAACTACTTTGATGTAATTTAGTTAATAGTTTATACTGATCTTCCTGTTTATCATTCCACTGAATGTTGTAGGCCTGTGCCCTGTAAAAGTTTACTATGAATCTTTTTAATTTTTTGAGAAATACAAAGTGCTTCAGTGCATATTATTGACTTGTAATTATTTTCTTAGTTTTTATATAATGTTTCTGTAGAACAGATGGAAAAAACTTGGTTTTCTTCCTACTTCTATAAACAGTAATTTTTCAGTTTTTGACTGTACTTCCTTTTCTGAAACAAGACTTTCTCTGTAGTTAAGCTTAAGATCTTTATGTAGCATGGGGTTGAACATGTAATGACTTTCATACTTAAGACTTTGTTACTGTAGTAACTAATATTTAGAATGAAGGAAGAATACTTTACATTTTTGGGACTAATGTTTAAAATGTTTTCCCAAAGCCTCTCTGAGGACTGCTGTAGAGTTTTGTTGCTGTTGTTTGCCTTGTAAAATTACAATTTTAAATTATTGCGGTTTTTTTCAGGATAGCATGTATTAGTGCACCAAGTGTGTACCAGAAACTGAAAGAGCAGGATGGTGAAGATTTTTCAGTGTGTATACTGGAGTATGACAGAAGGTTTTCTGTGTACGGAGAAGAATTTATCTTCTATGATTACAACCACCCTTTGGACTTACCTGAAAATCTCCTGCCACACAGTTTTGACATTGTAATAGCAGATCCACCCTATCTGTCTGAGGAATGTCTTCAAAAGACTGCAGAGACCATCAAATATCTAACAAAAGGAAAGATTCTGCTTTGCACAGGTATAACTAATAAAAATATTAGGTCCCCCTAAGTACCTTTTTTTCTCATTCTAATGACAAACTTACATAAGACAAATACTAACTCAAGAATGCTGAGTTGTCAGCAATTTAAGGAGGAATATGTATCCTAAGCTTTTAAGTACTGGAGTTCAACCTTTATTTTAAACAGAAGGCAAGTTGGTTTTAATAGTTCAAGTCAGTACTTTCTTCCTATGTGTCCTGGTTTAGGGCAAACTTGGGAGAAAACTCCCAAAGGGCCCCTCCTCAGGAAGCAAACCTGAGCAGCCCCTTCCCCAGCTGGTTCAGGAAGAAATTTCCTCAGAGAGAAGTGGAAAAAATCTGTTTATTCAACAGGCACAGCACTGCCCAGCACAAAAAAGAAACCCTAATACCGAACAACAAAACCTCTCAGTGCTGTGAAGAGATGACCAATTCAGAAAGTCTCTCTCCTGTGGGGGTAGCTCGGCTCAGTCTGTTCTCAGTCCCTCCGGCGCTGGAAAATGGCGCTGCCCAGGCCAGGCCCCGGTGGCCGCAGGTGCGAGCTCCGGGTGCTGCCCCGGGTCCCCAGTCCAGAGCAGGTTAAAATAATTCCAGGAAAAGGGAAAGAGAACAACTTTCCGGGGAACTTCTCTGCTTCAGTTAGTCAGAAACTAACAAAAAGCAAAGGAGAGCTCTCTCTGCTGTTCACCACGGTGACACAGTCCAGGAGGACGAGAGGATGGAACTCCTGTCTCTGTGTTTTGAAAACAACCGCCTCAGGCATTCCACCGCTTCTCCTCCCCCCTCCTTCACTCTCAAATCCAGCCTTAAAGGTACAAAACTTATTTCTGGGCTAAACAGACAAATGGGGATACAATTCAACATGACAAAGTCACCCCAGGACACTATGGCATTATGAATTTTACTGAATTTATCCAGCAAAATTCCAGAAATACCATTTTTCTTGTAGAAGAGCCACTCTCTATAATTGCAGTGATTGAAATCTGGGAATAGCAAACATAGGTGCAAGTTACTGTTTATGTCTTAGGCACTGAAATACAGCAGAAGGAATTAAAAAACAGAGATAAAAGCAGAAACCAGATAACTAGATAGCTGTGCTTGTGGGTCCTTCTTTAGGAATATGCACTTGCCGTTTTGAGAAGTGATGTGTGTCTACCCAAGTCATGGCTTTTTTTAAACTGCATTGTTATCTGAAGACATCCAGGAAACCTTTCCAAAAAGCAAAGGACAAAACTCCTCTATATGTACAATTTGAGAGAAGGCAACCAAGCTGGCAAAATAATGAAAAATTAAAATAATGGGGCCATAGAAGGCCTGCTCCTTGGTTTAAGTGCACATGGCAGTCACACACAAGGGTGGCTCTCAGAAGTTTTTCCCTAGAATGGATAGGTGGTCCTTCAGTTTGCTACTCAAAGCAGTGATTTCTCAGTGTGTAGCTGCAAAAATCACACTGTGATTTATATAAGTGAAAGAGTAGATTAATCTATTTGCATTTCCCATTGCTCCCTACCATTTAACTTCCTTGGAATGTAGTAAGAAGACTAAGTTCAAGTTTGCTTTCTGTAAAAAGGGCACTGATATCCTCTACTTATTTTTCTGAAATTTCTTGGACATTCATTTCCTTGGGATATCTTCAATTCTTCTAGATTTATTTGAATTTTCCCAACAGATTCTCTTGTTAAGGAAGGTTGATTTAAGCCTGCCTTCCTTAAAAAAACAGGCTCTCTAGGTATGCATTTGGGAGGGTCTATTTAAAAAGTTCAAACATTCTGTTACTGTTTTTTCTAAATGAATGCAAATTATTTTTGCTGCAGGTGCAGTCATGGAGGAACAAGCAGCAAAGCATCTTGGTGTGAAGATGTGCAAGTTTATTCCAAAACACTCACGAAATTTAGCCAATGAATTTCGATGTTATGTGAACTATGCTTCTGGGCTGGACTGATTCTCCTAAGATCATCTAGAAATCTACAACTTTTTCAGTCAAGCTTCTTATCAGTTGCACCACATTTCTCAGAGCTGAAATATTCTGAGTACTGTTTTTTGGGATAGCTGGAATCAACGTAGTGTGATAGCCTCTCTCTTTTAAACAAGTAAGCATTTGCAGTTACTGTGTTTCATATTAGGAAATGCAGACCAAGCAATGCAGGTGCTGAATACTGGGAACTTCTCTGTTGGAGTGTCATTTTAACTGGTAGCTTTTACCATTTGAGGACATATCAGTGACCTCTTTGAAGTGATTTTAGCTTATAACAGCACGTGGGTGTTTGCCTTGCAGGCATCAGAATCATCATTGCCAAAGAACTTGATACTTCTGTAGTAATGTGACCCATACATGTCCCTTAAATCTTGAATCATAATGTCTGATTAAATATAGTGCCTGCTTTTTAATAATTTCAATATCAAACTAAAGAGGATCTATGGGTATGTCAAATTTATAGTTAAAAGAATAGTTATGTTTTTTTTCCAGTTGCCTGGTTTTATCTTTTTCTCCTGTTCCACAGACAGCAGCAGAGAAGTAAAATAGAAGCATCTTAAAAATAATTGAATCTTACATGGCTACTGAAAAATATCATTGATAAACTCCCACTGTTTCAAATAGAAAAATGTTAGATTTTATATTCAAGGTTTGTACTATATTTCAGTCAAAATAGATGATACATTGGAAAAACTTTGCTATGTGTAAGTAGAGATTTTTGATAAGTGGAATTTTAAAGCCAGTTTTTATTAACCTTTGGATTACACTACTGAAGTATTTTTGGGTGGAAGTTAGTTTGTAAATTTCAAGGCACTCGACACTTTTATAATCTCTAAAAACAGTCTACAAAACACAAGCACTTGTTTTCATATGTCATACTGTGTAAAGGTTAACAGAAATGCTGCATCTACAAAATGAATCATGTAAAATCAAGTACTAAATTTATTTTGTGGCAGGAATATACATAACTAGACTTGTAAGGCAGTGACAATACTCATGTTTCTGCTGTTTGGATGCAGATTTTCCCCTCTGGTGGAGTAAACAGCTGAGCAGGAATAATATGGATGGATTATAACTCTCTTTCAGTGCTCAGAGAATGGTGCTGTCTGAGCTGGACACAACAGTGTTTCATAAATACCCACCCAAGCCACTGTAGCTCTCCTCTCCATTTTCCAAGAGATCTGTTTGCTTCCTAAGGCTTTTCCCTCCCCACATTTTATATCTGCTGCTTCCTTCCTGCATGTAGTGTTCCTGGGTTCCATGGTAAGAGTTTTCTTGCTCTTTCACACACCTCGGTTTCTGTCATACTGGTCACAGGTGTTGCTAAAACGAGGGCAGTGCAGCAGAGGAAGTGCTTGCAGGGAGAACAGGCACCGGCCTCTCCTTTCTGCTCTGTGAGCCCAGGGCCCATATAGCCTTGCCTTTCAAACCAGATGCCATCCTTGCTGCTGAGCCAGAATTCCCCTGAAAATGACTGTCCACAGGTGAAATACAGCTGGGTTTAGTTGTTTTCCAGGAGGCTGCATCATCACTTTTACGTGACCAGTTTGAATATAAAGCAAGCCAGAATGGTAACTGCATAGCTGTTGGCACTAATCTGTACTTTAAACTGGTTTATTACCTCAGTCTTGCACTAAGCAGATGGAGACAATAAAGTAACTCATGGAACTTTGTTTTTAACTGCATAGAAGCTTCAGGTGGGACAGGTATGATTGTGAGAAGGGATGATGCTGTTCCCCTGTCAGTCACCTAAATTAGAATGTGCTGTTCAAATCAAAGCCTCACCTATTTTGCTGCTTTGCTCACTTCATTTTGGTAATTTGTATTATTGGGCTCTCCATAGGAGAGCTAAAAGTCAACTTTGCTAACTTCATCAGCTATTTCTTCAAAAGATAAAAGTGCACCAATGTGAGGTTTTGGGGAACCTCCAGGTGCCTCTTGTGCACCCACACTCTCGGGCTTATTCTCTTTTTGTGTAAAAAGCGAAGCAGATAATAGTTGCTATAAAGTTATTTATTGTAGAAGCACATCAGTCTCAAAAGCAAAAACAAAGCAGAGCAAAGCAATGGCATAAAGCAATGGCAAAGCTGCAGTGGCAAAATGCAATGGCAAAATGCACATGGCATAGAGCACCAGCTCTCCCTGATGCACGTTCTTTTATAGAAACTTTCCAAGTAGCTAAGACACAAACTCGGACCACTACCTTTTAACCTATTAGAATTCTAGTTTCTTAGCACACCAGACTATGTATAGACTACGTTCATGGCCTATCTTGTTCTAACTGAAAAATGTAAGCAATACCCTTCACTCTGACTCTGTTATGTCTGAAGCTGTGTTCTTGGAGCCTCTAAGGAAACACTAGCATGCTTTTCAAACTTCACTAGAACATGTACTACTTCTCAGGCATCTAAGACATTTTACTTACTAAAAGCACTTAAAACTTATTCCATTTACTTAACTTATTCACTGCATCTATTCACTTACTCATTCCATTCAAAGACTTTAATTCAATCCCTGCACTCTGATTTCTATCTGAAGAAATCAGAGAGACTCCTGACTTACTGACTCCAACAAGTTGTACCAAGAAGTTCACTTCCAAGAAAATCACTGCTTGCTTCTCACATGTAGATCAGACCTCTTTGAAAAGAGGCACTGTTGAGGATGCATAGTTATGGAACTGAGGGTACATGAAAATCTCTGCAGATGCAGTCAACACAGCAGGCCATTTTTCACCAGCTTCCCTCTTAAAAGCCTGGGGGGTGCAGGCAGCTGCCCAAGCAGAGCTTGACTACTGGCATTTACAGCCTTCATCGGTGATGAGAGGTAAACTGTTTTTGTCATACTTGATTCCAAGGACGTAGCAGTTTCTGAGAAGGGTACAAGTCACTAAAATCCGTAGTATTTTAGTAGTCACTAAAATCCGTGAATTTTTGTTTTGTGCCAGTGTGATAACTTCAAGAAATAGTATGTGACAGCAAAACCCTCTTTTTCTGTAATGGGATTGTGAATAAAAATATCAGTGTCAAGTAGTGACTGACTTTACCGAGGGTGTCTCATGGATGGACTTTCTGTTTGAACAGACTGTGGTGAAGTGTCAGCACCAAGCTACTTTTCCACGGGCATTTATGACTGCACGGTCATTTGTGCTACAGCCTCTTAAACTACCTACTCCAGGCAGTTACGGCTGTTCCCTCGTCCCAGCAAGATTAATGGGTATTTAGACTTTCTGAGCACATCACAGCCTTTTTCCCTTTTCCTCCTGCTGCTTTCATATTCATGTTCCTCCATGCAATTCCATATTTTACCTCTAGCTGTAGGTCTTCATCTATTCAGACAGACACCTTCAGGTGATGACTGGCAAGTACACCCAGACTAGCATCTCAGGCTTTCCTCAGCCTTCCTGAATGATAGGAATTTTCCAAGCTACCTTAAGCGATATTACAGACAAGAAAATAATCTCTTTACCGAGGATATTGTTCTGTGTTTTGTGGCTCCTAATATATTCCAGGGACAACCTTGTTGAAGGAAAATATTTTCCTGGCACAAGAAAAATTTTTCTCAAATCAGCTGCAGCTGCCAGATAGTTCTAGCTTTGAATTGTTTGCATTTATTGGGCCTGGAGTTGGTTCAGTGAGGCATTTCATGTCTGCCTTCTGTCAACAGTTTGTGTAGCCTTGAAGCAACTCCAGTGAACACTCCCTCCCCCATGCAAATTAAAGGCAAGGCTGCGGCAGCTGTAACCAGAGGGCTGGAAGCTGGAAAATGTCACACCACATTTGAAGTGAAACTGATATAAATCCATGATGTGATGACCTCGTTTAAAAAAAAACAATTCCAAACAAATGCAAACTACATTTAACACTCAACCTTTCCCCATGAGTAATGTGGAGAGAAAGGATATATGGGAGGATATTTTGAAGGCCAGCAAGTGTTTGTGTAGCTAATAGCTTTTGATGTTAAGTATTAACAAACAGTTGTTCACTAACAAAATATCAAACAGTTGCTCGTGCTAGAATATAAACAGCTTTTAAGAGACACCTAACTGGAAAGCTGGATCAGGAAGCAAATTGGCTCAGCTAAAAAGTCTGTCATGGAGGAAAAGGAGGATAAAGAAGGGAAAATGGGCTTCTGAACAAAATAACATAAAGATACCTGAACCATGGGAAGCTTTCTGCACTTGTTGCAGTGCGACAAGAAGGGGGTTGCCAACACAAGCGCTCTGTTGATCATGGAGGTTTTGCAGTTCTCAAATACATTCAAGTCATCCAATTTCTGAAGCTTTCTATAAGCTAAAGCATCTACTTTTCTGAATTGGAGAAACTGATTATGTTCCATTTACCTGATTTTAGCTTGCACCTCTCAGGAATTCCCTGAACATGCTCTAGTCACTTGAAAACCTCAAAATGACTCCATAATTTATGTCTGGAGGACTAGAGAGTTGCAAAAAAAAAAAGAAAAGAAGATAATTTTGTTTTTCCTCCATATCATGCAAATATATCCCTGTGCTCTAATAACTAATTCGTTGCAGATAAATTTGTGTAACAAAATTGTGTGGGCAGACAATGAATTCTGCTAGAGGGCAGTGTTTGGCCAGACTTAGTTGGTAGCCCACCTGGCTATTTACTAAATGTCAGGTGCTGCATGGTTGGACATTTTGCTGTTGTTGTTTGGGGTCATTTTATTGCCTGTTAGGGTGAAGACTTGCCTTTCTATGCCACGGAGTCTGAAGGTTCAACTTCACGCTACCTTAAGTATATCTGTGGAGAAAAACCTCACAATGTAATGGTGAAACTGGAAGGCATCAGCTACTGAAACATCACCTTCTCTAGTTCTGTGGGTCAGCCTCCCTTTTGAGCCCCTCTGATTACCATTTCCCTATGCTCAGAGGGTGAGAAAGTCCTCAACATTAGGAGGAAGGAAAGGAGGTAGTAATTGCTGCAAGTATTTACATTCTCTGGGGAAAAGGTAACTACCTGTAATTGCTGGCAGCAGCCAGTCAATTAGCTGTTCTCTGAGTAGTATAAACATTTTATGACCATCTTTGAACTCACCTTTGAGGATCCCCTTGAGATAGAAGCATCACAATCTGAGGAAACACAGATCTAAAGACAAGGAGAATTGAGGAAAAGCATCTGCACAAAACACACAGCTACACACTTCAATCTGATATCATGATGGGAATCTTTATTTGTTTCTCGAGTTCTTAAAGTTATTTTAGGCTTTGTAAGAAGTTTCACAGATTGCACTGTAAAAATACTGTTATGCTAGACTGAATCACAGAGAGCACAGTCAATACTTATGCATCAAGACATGGAGTTGTCATATGACTTTCATTCTGTTACAGAATCAACTTGTTAATTGTGATTAGCTCATAGTCTTTCCATTCTTCATCCAACAACACTCCAAAAAGGATAGTGTTTATGTAGAGTAGGGTCTTTCTCTGCTATGAATTAAGGCCAATTTTGAGAC